GAGTGAATATATAGCGAGAGCGGGTGGGTGCGGAATAGAACCTTGCTGGACTAAAAAAACAGTCCCGCGCAGACCTCTATTCTCCGTGTCACAGATATAGTCCATATTTTCATATTTTTACATATATTATTACATTTACTGCTCTGTAGGGCACTTTGCTTCTATCCATTATGCCATAGAAGCACCATACGCACACTTAAATGCCATTTTAGAAGTTTCTGCTTATTTAAATGACCTGCTTCTTCATTATTGCACTGAATATGGAGCCGTATCTAATTAGAAACAATATATTTTTATGAGATTCTCACTGAATTCTCCTGTAGTGTGATTATCCTGTAGATGTTTAACAAGCGGTTTGTTTATTCTCTTCCTCCGATATTATTGTGCCACGTCCTCTTCATTCCCCAGGCTGATATCAACTCTCAGGGTTTAAAGCATCCTGGCTCCATGCTTCTGTTTTATCAGACTGTATATCAGTTTAGTGCTCTCCACCCCAGGTGATATGGCTGGAGGTGTTGCTGTCATGTAACTCTGCTGATAGCAGGTAAGATCTGCCTACTGGATGGAGTTTGACATTTATATTTGTTTGGATTTGCCCATCTACAGTGGGAAATGAGGCACTGTGATTCAGAGGGACTCTCTCGTCTCCTTCTGATATTTATGTTAATATTCAGAGAGAGGACTGAAGCAGTCTTAAGATGTGGGATGGGTCTGAAGCGTGGTCCTAGTAATGAGATCCTAGGTGTGGAATGTGGTGTTTTACTAAACAGCAGCATGTCTGTTTTAGTGTGGGCTTTTTTTGACTGGGTTTAGGCCTGCTCTGACCTGCAGGACGAGCAGCAGGGCTTTAAGAGGAAGCACCCACAGCAATACTAAACACACGAGTCTTTGTGCCTGGGGCAATATGCACCCTGTCTGTCTGCAACAAATGCTCACGCACTCAGACGGATCAAGTTACAGCACAGAGAAATCTGCATGTCTCTCTTTCTTTGTCTTTGTTTTCAATCCTTATCGCCCTCTTTTACTCACAGTCTATAGTGATTTGTTTTCCTCACTCCCTCCTATTTATCTAAGATCCTTCGATTCCTTGCAGTATAATTTAGCACAGAATGAAGGCAATAAGAGGGGTTTTGTTTCCAAGTGGCTGTGAATTTTATAGGTTTGAGATATATATATATATGTGTGTGTGTGTGTGTGTTTATATATATATACATTTTTTTTTGTTTGTTTTTTTACATATTAAAAGTTTATTTTATAGCAAAAGCAGATAACTCCAACAGTCGTTTTTTGGCAAAAGCAGATAACTCCACATTTCATGTTTTAGATATTTTAATCTTCACTTCACTCATTTAATCTTTGTAATCTCCTCAGATGACAATGTAGATGCCTGACAAACGTTGTTGTTGTTGTGA